ACGAACTGGGAGAGTTGTCCTGCTCAAACAATTTCCTCTCGATGTTGCTAAAGGGAACGAAAGGTCTCCATCATATGTCCTATATCATGGTGGTAGGAATACTTGAAATTGGGGTTTCTTTTCTTGGGATCACCTCCCAATATTTTTGGTTATTTGAAAAAGGGCTTCCCCTTTATCTGGGCCAATATTTTGCAGATGGGTTATTTGAAGACCGTGTTTAAATTGGTGAATGATGATCGCAATGGGAAGGCTTCCTTCTCCTTCCCTTATGTCTTGATCGAGATTAATTGTTCGACCTTTCTTTGCCACTTTGCTTCTTTATTGGTCAGTCTTGGCTAACATCCCTGTCGAGCTCATCATCCACTTTTGAGTACTTTTCTACCCTTGCCATCATCTCTTCCACATAAAGGGTTGGTCTCCTTGTTAACAACTAGTACAATTTTCTTTGGGTATGCCAATCTTGAATGATGTGACTACAATCTCTGTATTGTAGCTTTCTATCTCATTCATCATCTCCCAATAAAGTTGATCGTATTAACACATTTTTTTACCATGCTTCTTCTTCATTGAAAGTAGAGCTCCAATGTCGTTCAGTTGAAGACTGCTTGTTATAAATCGAGTTGTGAATCGTTCAACAAGATGCACCCAAATATGAAAAAAAAATCCAAGGTTGTCAAACCACTTCATTGCTGATTTTTCCAAGCCAAGCTACTCGGAAACATTGTGCATAATAGAGCCTCATTCTTCTAGTGGATTGCCATCAACTGTCTATAATGACAAATGTGGGCTGTTAGCCCAATTTTCCCATCATAGAGGTTAAAGTTTGGGACCGTGAATTTCCTTGGGACTCTTTCCATTCCTGTCCATCTACTAAAAGGGGACACCTCTAATCCTCTAATGTATTCACCCATTTCCCTTCTTGCTAGCTCTCTAGCAGACTTTTGTTCAAGCCTTTTCAGCCAACTATCGAGCACTTCTGGTATGAACTGCTTCCAAGCGTCCTCTTGCTCCTCAACCCGAGCGGATTTATTCCTTCCATTTTTGTCTCGGGTGTCCTCCCTTCACCTTCCTTTATGCCTTTCTAGGCTAGGACTCAAAATGGCGATCTGACACTTTGGAGTCCTTGCGTTCCCTAGACTTTCATCAGGCCTTCTTTAGCGCCTTATTCTCCTACCTCAATTTCTCTGTCCCTTCTTAGTACTTTTTTAACATGTCATCATAAGCATCCAATCGGTCTTAGAGAGATTGGACTAACTTCATAAACGTTGAGATACACCATTTTTGTATGGTTCCAAGTGAGTACCTTTGAATCAAGCATTACCTGATATTTATAGTATTGTGNGAGATTGGCCTTAATTCCTCGCCTGGTAACTAGGAAGCTCAAGAATTTACCTAAACTTACCCCAAAGGCAGATTTTGAGGTGTTAAGCCTCATTCGGTAGATTTGCAACACGTTGAATGTCCTTTGGAGGTCGGCAAGATGATTGGCTATCCTTTTACTCTTGACCATCATATCGTCAATGTATACTTCCGTGGTGCCTCCTAGATGTATGGTCTTGAAGTCCTCTACAACGTGTTGGATCGGGCTTGTTGTTTGCTCATCCAAGCCCAGTTGCTCGAACTTTGATTGCTACTTTTAGCCTGAGTTAGATGCTGAATTTATGTGTTGATTCTCTTTCACTTCTTTCCTTCTCACTGAGGAGAATAAGCAATTCCCCTCCCTAAGCTAGTCCCCGTGAATGTCGAAAACTCTTACGTTTATTAGGAAGCTTAGAATTTGATGGTAAGTCGAAGGGACTGCCTTCATCTCAAGAAGTGATTTAAGCCCTATGATGACATTGTATGTTGAATTGACCTTTATGACGAGAAATTCAGTCATTGATCCAACTGGCCCCACTTGAACTAGTGGGATATTGGCTAGCTTCAAGTCTTCCTTTAAACTTAGTTTTTGAAATAATTCAAAGTACATGATTTTTGAAGGGCAACCTTAGTCTATCAAGATTCTATTTATGCCGAAGTTGGAAATCCTTAATGTCATGACCAATACATCATTGTGGGGGTAATGAACCCCGACTTGGTCCCCATCAGAGAATCTTGTCAATTTGTCCAACTAGTCGGTCCTTTGATTTTTGACAATGCACTCGGTCGTTGTCCTAACTTGACAAATCTCTATTACCTACGCAACCTTTTGAATATAGGTTCTAACTGCTGCATTCATTGCCATGTTTGGATCTATAGTGGCATGAATGATGTCAATCACTCCCATAGAATCTTGTTCACTTCCCATCACATTTCTTTCTCCTACTACATTAGCCTTTGTTCCTCTTGATATACGAACTGGGAGAGTTGTCCTGCTCAAACAATTTCCTCTCGATGTTGCTAAAGGGAACGAAAGGTCTCCATCATATGTCCTATATCATGGTGGTAGGAATACTTGAAATTGGGGTTTCTTTTCTTGGGATCACCTCCCAATATTTTGGTCATTTGAAAAAGGGCTTCCCCTTTATCTGGGCCAATATTTTGCAGATGGGTTATTTGAAGACCGTGTTTCAATTGGTGAATGATGATCGCAATGGGAAGGCTTCCTTCTCCTTCCCTTATGACTTGATCGAGATTAATTGTTCGACCTTTCTTTGCCACTTTGCTTCTTTATTGGTCNGATCGCAATGGGAAGGCTTCCTTCTCCTTCCCTTATGACTTGATCGAGATTAATTGTTCGACCTTTCTTTGCCACTTTGCTTCTTTATTGGTCAGTCTTGGCTAACATCCCTGTCGAGCTCATCATCCACTTTTGAGTACTTTTCTACCCTTGCCATCATCTCTTCCACATAAAGGGTTGGTCTCCTTGTTAACAACTAGTACAATTTTCTTTGGGTATGCCAATCTTGAATGATGTGACTACAATCTCTGTATTGTAGCTTTCTATCTCATTCATCATCTCCCAATAAAGTTGATCGTATTAACACATTTTTTTACCATGCTTCTTCTTCATTGAAAGTAGAGCTCCAATGTCGTTCAGTTGAAGACTGCTTGTTATAAATCGAGTTGTGAATCGTTCAACAAGATGCACCCAAATATGAAAAAAAAATCCAAGGTTGTCAAACCACTTCATTGCTGATTTTTCCAAGCCAAGCTACTCGGAAACATTGTGCATAATAGAGCCTCATTCTTCTAGTGGATTGCCATCAACTGTCTATAATGACAAATGTGGGCTGTTAGCCCAATTTTCCCATCATAGAGGTTAAAGTTTGGGACCGTGAATTTCCTTGGGACTCTTTCCATTCCTGTCCATCTACTAAAAGGGGACACCTCTATTCCTCTAATGTATTCACCCATTTCCCTTCTTGCTAGCTCTCTAGCAGACTTTTGTTCAAGCCTTTTCAGCCAACTATCGAGCACTTCTGGTATGAACTGCTTCCAAGCGTCCTCTTGCTCCTCAACCCGAGCGGATTTATTCCTTCCATTTTTGTCTCGGGTGTCCTCCCTTCACCTTCCTTTATGCCTTTCTAGGCTAGGACTCAAAATGGCGATCTGACACTTTGGAGTCCTTGCGTTCCCTAGACTTTCATCAGGCCTTCTTTAGCGCCTTATTCTCCTACCTCAATTTCTCTGTCCCTTCTTAGTACTTTTTTAACATGTCATCATAAGCATCCAATCGGTCTTAGAGAGATTGGACTAACTTCATAAACGTTGAGATACACCATTTTTGTATGGTTCCAAGTGAGTACCTTTGAATCAAGCATTACCTGATATTTATAGTATTGTGTTGGTCCTTTCTTTGCCAACATTTTTTCATTGGTCATATGAGATGGCACACCTAATTCTCAGCCAAATTACTCTCGATTATATCTAGAATATCTCCTAGATTTCTCTCATTTGTTAGGATGCACTGATAATATTCACCTATAATTGAGGCAACGTACTTATTAGTCCGGCCCTTATCATTGATTTATCTATAGCCTAGCTATCTCATTACCCAACGATTTCGTTTGAAAGGTTGCTTGTGAGCACGACTCGATATTTCTTTTGGTTTGGTCTATTGACAGTTCAGCCTGTTTTGACGAACACTTTAGCCATCTGCTTGGTCGGTTATAATGGACTATAACGCCCCACGTGCCTCTTGTTTATGCTTTTTGTCACGTGCTTTAGGACACGTGATTTTTTTAAATGTCTTAATCATGCGTAGTCGTTTCATGCCCCTTTAGTTTAATTCTTTCATTATTTTTTGTTGTTGTTGTTGTACGACATCTATGATTTGAGAATTTATGAAAGGTATTCTTTGACACTTTTACATTCAAGTTGGTCTATCATGTTCGAGTGACTTGCATATATTATGTCTCATCGCAAGCTCCCATTTTGATCATCTTGTTGGTATGCAATAATAATAGAGAATCTACTTAACCCAGAAAGCTATGACCAATCTGTCACCTATATTTTGATCACATGTGTCCANGTATATATTATGTCTCATCGCAAGCTCCCATTTTGATCATCTTGTTGGTATGCAAGAATAATAGAGAATCTGCTTAACCCAGAAAGCTATGACCAATCTGTCACCTATATTTTGATCACATGTGTCCACAGGCATCGTCGTAGATGGTTGTAGCCAGTTGTTTTAGATTTTCATTCTTTATTTAATTTATTTCCACCCATATATGGGGTGGGGGGGGGGGAGAAATGAATTTGTTGAGTCACGTGACCAAGTAATAGAAACAATCTTTCTACATGTGAGGGTAAGAATTTGGAAATCTAATTTTTTTTCCAAACCTTGAAATGATTTACAGTGCAATTAGCCATTTTTTTTTAACGAAACTACATTTCTCGGAAAGTAAAAGAAACTACATTTCAAAGACTCTGCAAGTCTTTTTTTTTCTTGGCAACTAATTTAATTGCATCATGCAAATTGCCAAGTAATTTAGGGCTACAATTGTTTCCTTTGTTAAATTCAGTGAAAAATGGTGCACTTTCTCATAAATGTCTGTTTTTTTCCACATACAGTTCAGATAGAGCCACATTCCTCATGAATCACATATCTAATATTTGCCAAACATTTTACTAAGCCAAAAGCCAAAAATCCTTATGACTCTTAGTGGTGATCAAATATCCTCCATTTTTCCTGCTTTTCTTCCTCACTGCTATTGTCATGCAATTAGCATTTTGAATACAGTAATCTACAATGCTGCTGCCCCTTCTTTTCCCTGTCCACATCTTGCGTAGACACCACATTAAGGATCTACTTGTTTGCCCCAACAACAATAGAGAAATCCTTTGTTGCTTAGCATCTTTCACTATTATTGGACCCTTTTCCTTCCCTTGCCGCAGTACTATGTCAACTTGCACCTGGTTAGCACAATTTGTGCATATAATAGAACGTTATATAGATGGAGAAATGATCGAAAATCTCCCTATAGCAAAATCTAGTGACATATTATCTCGATTTTAGAAACCTACAAATAACGCCAATATTTTTTTTAAACAACCTGTCCAAAAAGTTGAAAAAATGGTTATAGTCAAGGGGGTCAAAGCTTAATTACTCTTATCTTTATATAAATTGTTAGTCCAATTTGTTACATTTTTGTCCGAAATCTACAAGAGAGTAAATATAAATTTCTCGACTATAGAAAATTAAAAATGACAGGCCTAAGGAGTTAAACTCACCCTTGCCACAGAAATTGAAATCCATTTAAAAATTTAAGAATCTAAATGATTAATGGTGGTTGAGTTGTTAATAGACGTGGAGTGATGATCCAAGTATGCTATATATCTGACGACAAATGCAACAGCCGACAGAAATTAAATGCCTTTTTCAACTATACCAAACGATGATATCTTTTGCCTTGTTATTCTAAGTTAGTTGTCATCGTTTTGATGCCAGAATGTCACATTAAGCTATGTGAAAACTCAATAACAGAAGTAGACTAAAAGAGTCTAGTTGCAATGTGGATGAAGGTCTTTTCTGGCTTTTCACCACCCAAACTACATTGAACGTCCAAGCAAAGCTGTGCCAGAAAAAGTAGTCGATTTCTAGGACGGCACAATATTTACTTGTTCTTTTTTTTTTCCTTTCGAAGGTGAATTGTTCTCAAGGAATGGGGTGATTGAACACTGCATTGTCGGTGGCCAATTTTTCCTGAACTTCAATTTCATACAACCTCGAAAGGAATATAAAGCTGAATTTCCAAGATATGGAATTTGCAAGGAAGCCATTTGTCATAAAAAAAAAGTAGCTGGTATCTATAGAACATTAGAAAATTATGAATATAAAAGGAGAATAATCAACCACCACAGGCCTAGCTTGGGTAGCTGTGCGTGAACTCCAAGAGGCTCATTCTATCAAGAAACTAAGTACGTAACTTGAACAATCAAAATGACAATAAAGGAGAGAAGGACAATTTTGTACTTCCTGGTTTTTAGAAGTATGTTAGACAATGAATGCGAGACATTTATACTAATGTTTACTTACCCCAGGTCTTCTCACTTGGCACAATTGCTTCATAGTGCAAAGAAGTTCATAAGCCTTTTGGTCAAGTTTCTTCTCAGAATTTCCACCTGCAATCATAAAGATAGCTATTTAAACTGCATTTTGTGATTAGATTTGTTTACTCTTTATGAGAATTGAAAAGAATCACCCCTTATATATTAAGGAAAAACTAGTTTAACAAAGCAAAACAAAAAAATGTTAACTAACCTTGTTTACAGGGTTTGGTTACATGCAGAAGAATAATGGTATCCTGGCTTTGAACAGTGTGAGAGAGTGCCCAATGGAGAGCACCCTTTGATTCAGGGCTCGAATCAACTACAACCATGACTCGGTTGCCACATTCTGTCTCTGGCTCCAACGTTGCTCTATTGAAATCCTTTTCACTGCTTTTGCTGGAAAACTCAGTTTTTTCATATGTTTTAGTGGAATTGTACCTTCTCTTGCATTGATGAAATGGCGAACGAACTCGAACATTAACCGAGATGCGACCCACGCAGGAACCTGGCGATCTGGTGCGTGCTACAATCATCTTCTCTATGGGCTAGTACTCTCTGTGTCAGAGTGTGTGTGTGAGGGCACCTATATGTGTGTGTCAAGAGTGTGGGAGAGGAGCGGCAAGAATTTCATGGGCCAAGATCTAGATCATGTGTGATTGTGGTTGCGGAGATGGTTGTCTTGCTGACTTTGTAAGTACGTGCTATAAGGTCGTGCATTCATTTTTTTGTTTCGTTTGTTTTCAATGGTGGGGTTCTTCGTCAACATGCCTGCCACGAAGCTGTAGACCCCTAGCAAATTTTGGGGGTTTTTAATTTTTATTTTTTTGTGGCAAGTACCAGTCTTAAGCTGAAGGTCCGGTATAATTAGGATAATTTTAGAAAGTATTTTAAAACTATTATCTTATGATTTGAATTTGGTAATAAATGTTCTCAATAAACTAATACACTACATTTGGAAGTTATCGTGTTCGTTTTAAGTTTATGCTATAGACATAAGCCCAAAAGACATGTTGTTAGATTATTAATAGAAATTACTGAAATAAGGAATGTTCTCGTACTTGGCCGGACATTAAACAAGCCAAAAATTTAAAAAATTGTGTACTAATAAAAAATATAAAAACTATCATATATTTACAGAGTATTCATTTTTTTTTTGTGAAGAATAGAGAATATTCATTCAACATCTCATCATTCANTAAAAAATTGTGTACTAATAAAAAATATAAAAACTATCATATATTTATAGAGTATTCATTTTTTTTTTGTGAAGAATAGAGAATATTCATTCAACATCTCATCATTCATCCAAGAATAGGAAGCAGGAAAAAGAAACCAAGATATCAATCATAGCTCAAGAAACATGTTCAAAACAAATCAAAAAAAAAAAAAATTCATGTTTATAATGCATAATGAATAATTCGAAATGTGTCGGATTTCTTCAAAACTGGACCTCTTTATAAACCTCAACTAAACTTTTCTATCAACAAAGTCAAACAATTTTTTAGTCCTCATTTCTAAAATGTGTTTGTTAAGTGTGTTTTCGTTGTGGTTCTGACCTGCTATTTGCCTTGTAGNAATAAAAATTCATGTTTATAATGCATAATGAATAATTCAAAATGTGTCGGATTTCTTCAAAACTGGACCTCTGTATAAACCTCAACTAAAATTTTCTACCAACAAAGTCAAACAATTTTTTAGTCCTCATTTCTACAATGTGTTTGTTAAGTGTGTTTTCGTTGTGGTTCTGACCTGCTATTTGCCTTGTAGGTTTTCACCCTTTTTTGGATGCTGCAGAGGCTGGGAGACCAGCCCTAGCTAAAGCTTGCAGACTTAAGCCTTTTTCCATCTTGGTAGCCAAGGAAAAGCTTGTCGAGTACTAGTTTGGACCTCTTTTCGAGGCTTTCCTTGCTTGGAGTGTCCTCCAAAACTCGAGCTTCCTATCTAGGCAATTGACCAGATGGATCAGAGGCTTGTAAGGGAGAGATTTTCTGTGGAAGAAGAGATTTGTGAAGACCTCCAAGATCCTTTCTTCAAAGAGGTCAAAATTGGAGTTTGATCCCTCGGGGCATGTAGGGGTAGCTCTGACCTCCCCTGATTCTACTTTGGCCCTTTCTTTGAGACCCGACTTGAGTCCCATAGGAGGGCTCGAGGTTGCTGGAGTTGAGTCTAGCGAGACTGTTTTGGCCCCTTTTTCAACAACGCTCCCTAAAGGGTTGGAGACTGCGAAGGAGTTTATCAGAATGGATACTAGGGATAGTGGGTTTCTCCCCGATCTCAAGGTGGTTATGGCTTCGCTTATTGACTTGGTTCTCGCTGTGGACCCTAAGGAGACCACGAAAACCAACTTCAAGCGAAAGGCACAGCATGCCCTTCGGAGTTTGGCTGAGGTATCATGTCATTTCCTTGTTTTCTTGAGCTAGCTTCTTACTCTTATATTGTTCTTAGTTGCTCATCATACACACCTCTACTGCTAGGCTTTGGCTTGTATCAAGGGGATGGAGTCCAATCACAAGTACTTGTCAAGCGCGCTGGCAGGTCAATCTTCCTAGCAAGCTCCTCTCCGCTTAGAACTTGAGAAGGCCCAGCTTGCTGAACAGAAGCCAAGGAATGAACTTGTCGCTATGGAGCATGAGTTGGTTGAAGCACTGGATGCCATGGATGTAGCCAAGGCTAAGAAGCACTTGGCTGAGCAGAAAATCATGGTCTTTAACGTTGAGTTGAAGGAGGCAAGGTGGGAAAAAATCGAGTGGAGTAGAAACCTTCAAGATGATGGAGATTCCGCCAAGAGGAAGGGTGGCAAGCTAAAGGCAAAAGAAGAAGAATTGAAATTCAAGAACAGAAAGATCGTCGAGCTCCTTGATGAGAATGCCTCTGTCTTTGTGCAAGGGTTCATGAACTTCCAGGAGGTCGAGAGGGTGTACCCTGATCTAGATCTGGACTCCTTCGAGCTAGACTTTGAGGTGTTAAAGCCTAAGGAGCCTTCAGAGGGGTCAGGAGCTGAGCTACTAATGAAGTGGACAACNAGGGGTTCATGAACTTCCAGGCGTAGGTCGAGAGGGTGTACCCTGATCTAGATCTGGACTCCTCCGAGCCAGACTTTGAGGTGTTAAAGCCTAAGGAGCCTTCAGAGGGGTCAGGAGCTGAGCTACTAATGAAGTGGACAACCTGAGCTCATTGCATAGTCTTGTTTATAGATCTTTGAATTTTCATTAAGACCTATACCCCTGACATTTGTGGATTGGACTTGTAACAAAACTCGTGTTTCTTTTAATTTTAGCCTTTCTTTTTATTTCTGATGTTTCTTCACACTGCTTTTCATTTTGGATGGTTCTGTGTGCTTACCTATTTGTCATCTCTATCTTTCTTTCTCTCTCCCCTCCTTTTTTGTTGCACCTTCAATGACTTTAAGGCTTGGAGGCACGAGAGGAGTAAACTTTGGTCCTCTAAGTTGCTTTGACCATTGTTTGTAGGCGTTAAGGCCCTCATTCAGAGGTGCAGATGATTAACCCTAAATAGTGCATAAGTGAATTAGGGTTTAGGTTAATTATGAGCATAAATTAGGTTAAAATGATTAATTTATAAAGTATTTGAGTTAATGTATAGTTTGTATATTTTTTAGGGTTTCAAGGATAAATACAGAAGTTTAATAGGATCAAAGTGTAGAGGTTGAATGAAGCAAGGGTGGCAAGTGTAACTTATAAGTCAACAAAGTCAACGAATAAGGCTACCAAGCATGGAAATCCAGAGGTTTAGCACCGTCCGAATGGTGATGGTGGCTTCCGGACGGTGGCTAAACCACCTTTGCCCTCTTTTTCCTCCCATTGGTCAATTTGAGTGACGGAAGGCCCTGATTGGTTAACTTGGGTGTCAGCCACCCTTGGAGCCCTCATTGGTGCTTATAAATAGCTTTATTCATCCAGTTTTCAGGGGGATTAGTAAGAGTTCAGGCCATCTCAGGGAAGGAGAGAAAAAAGGGAAGGAAAGAGAGAAAGAGAGACTTTAGGGTGTGTTTCAGTCAGAGAAAGAGCGAAGCCCAACCTTAATACTCCTCAACCAAAATTTTCTCCACTTCTACAATTTTTTTTATCCTTTCTACTTGGAGGGTTGAACCTCTCCCACTTTTGCCCCCTAGCGGTAATAAGAGTGGCAATGTTTTAGCTATTCCTCAAGTAAGGTCTTTGTGCATTTTGTTTTTGGTTGTAATGGGATTATCTCATTCTTCTTGCTTGTCTATAGCAATGAACCATGAATAGTCAATTTATACTCTTTGNTTTTTATCCTTTCTACTTGGAGGGTTGAACCTCTCCCACTTTTGTACCCTAGCGGTAATAAGAGTGGCAATGTTTTAGCTATTCCTCAAGTAAGGTCTTTGTGCATTTTGTTTTTGGTTGTAATGGGATTATCTCATTCTTCTTGCTTGTCTATAGCAATGAACCATGAATAGTCAATTTATACTCTTTGGTGAAGTGTGAAAGCATGTGTAATACTATTTAAGTTATGGAAATGCTAATGTTTTATTTATGTGTTAATGTTTATAACTCCCTTAATTGATGAATGGTTATTATTATAATATGCTCATGGTTATGAACACCGAGCAAAACTTATTGCTATATACCATTTTATCTATAAGTTATTCCATACTTCATGTATGATTTAGTGATGCATATAGATGGGTTTTATGTAACAGTTGGGAGATTGGTTATAGATGGATTAAATCTCGTCATAGCCAATGCTTTTGATTCAATGCATAAACCGGAACTCCATCTTCATTAAATCATCAACCTACCAATCAAATAGCAAGATTAAACCTTTTGAATGGTTCACCTTTGGGTTTACTAAGGTTATTTGATTATTCTATGGTACAAAGAACAGTTGGCTAACCTAACCAGTTGTTGTGATATGGTTCAATTATACATTAAACCTACTGATTGACTTTTCTGTAAAATGGGAGTTAATTGTTGTAAGGTGGCATTTTCATAAATGGGCAAAATAATGTATGTTGGATCCCCAAACTAAGGAGTACCTTTTATCATTGTTATTCAAAACTTAGTTAAGTGTTTATTTGATAATTCTATGCTTAGACTACAAGCTATTCCATTTCTCACTACACACACGACAACCTTACCTTTTTTCTGTTTTGAATACAAATAATTAGTTCCCTATGGGTTCGACCTTGGACTTAACCGAGAAACATTATAATTTAACAACTTATACTTGAGTGTATGATTTAAATTAGATCAGATCAAGCTTTTTGGCTCCGTTGCCCGGGAGTTACGGTGATTTCAAAAATGAACAAGGAAGTTTTCTAGTTGTATTATATATGTATACACTGTTTGTTGTATTTTAATTGTTTATGTCTGTTAAGTCATTAGTAGGGTCTAAAAATCAATCTAGTACTTCATTTTCTTCGTGTTCATCATCAAACTCTTTTTAGTTCAACAAGACTAATAATAATCAAAGAAAATAAGAGATAGTTTGGAATGTAAGACCTTTAAGAGAATATTTGCATCCCACATGCACTAGTGTCCCTTCATGTTTTATTTTTCCCACTAACACTCCAAATTTTAACATTAAAGCAGGGACAATACAACATTTACCACAATTTTCATGGTCTTGAGTATGAAAACCCTTAGTTGAATATGAAAGAATTTGAGGAGGTAAAGTGGTGCATTGCAAGATAATTCTA